TTTGGACCCTTGGGTCTGGCTGCCTTGAAAAGGTGAAAAGAAAGGTATGGGGAAGAGGATGTGTTTTAACAAAGATAATTTTATCTGTTCAAGGGATTCAGGAAGTAATTATCTTAACATTTGAATGCTAACATCTAAATATTGTAAATACATATTCTGTATGTACGTGGGAGAGAATCTCTATATCTGATACCTTTTCTCATCATCACATAAAGGAACCGACTTCTCTGGTTTAAGATATTAACCAAAATTTATATGATAAAATCGGTATATATGAGTGTATATTTTCTCAAACCGCATTCAAACAGACCTTTTGGGGAGACAAGACACTTATCAAAATCAAGGCTCTTGACATTAAATATTCTTGTTTGTCTTTTTAAAAAAAAAAAAAGTCTTCACTTTTCTTTCTTTTAAAATGCAATAAATTATACTACAACTTGCAGTTTATGGTGAGTTATTAGATACTGAACAATTGATTTTCCATTATTTTAATGCAAATTCTACATTGCTTTTTTACTATATAAAGCCATTTGTTTTCAGCTCCATGCTACAAAGACCACAGATGTTCATTGCCTAGAACAGTGTCTGATACATAGTAGTTGCTTGAAGTTTGTTAAGTGACTAAATTAAGGAGGATCTTACATATAACCATGTTTAAAATTACATATTATTATTTATAGTTTTTCCCACATAATAAGAATTATTACCATTTTCTTTATCCTCTGACCTCCTTGAACCAACTATTTCTCTCTTTTTGTGGGAGTTTTATCCTTTTGTATTTAATCTGAATCTTTTGAAATTCTAATGATACAATCACTTAACCCTCTCTTCCATGCACTTTCTTTTCTTAGTTTCAGGCAACAATGTGAAAATAATGGTGCTTATGTCTTTGTAATAACAGAACTTTCTTTGTCTTTTCTTTAGCCCCATTTTAATCCTCAGTGACTCATATGTAAGAAATGAACTGTGCAGCTGTGGTGGATCTAAGCCCTTGGCAACGACTCGATGGGCAAACAAGTGGTCTCTCACAATGGATGGTCCTTAGCTTTGAATTATTTACTGTCCAGTTTTAACAATAGAATTATATCATCAAATAGTGCCTTGGACTTTTAAAGTTTGATAAGACCTTTAAGATACATTTCCTTATTTTACAGACCTTGTTCCAACAATTATCTCCACCTTCTGTCAAGGTCGTAACATATATCTTTCTCTGCTAGGGTGACCAACTTTCCTGGTTTTCCTGAGACTATCCTGGTTTTAACATTGAAAGTCTCTCATCCTGAAAAACTCAGTGCTGGGCAAACCAAGATGGTTGGTTACCCTACTGCTAGCTTCCATCTTTCACTCTAGGTTCAAATCATTCCTATGCTAAAAAGAACTTCTTATCCCTTTATCTTGTTATCTTCTCTGTCCTCCTGTCCTGTCTTCCTCTTTTCCTTGTCAGAAAAAGAAAAGTGAACATTTAATTTTCACTTGAAATACCTACTCCTTCTTCCACTAGCTCCTCAGCTACACCTACTTCTGAGGCTCCTGCCCTCCCCTGAAATTGCTCTCACCACAGCTAGTGAACACTCTGCAATGCTGATCTTACTTTACTTCTATGTTTCATTGGGCATGCTTGGTCACCCTCTTCCTCTCAAAATTCTTACTCTCTCCTTGAAATTTCTACACTCCTCATTTCCCCTAATCTCTCCACCTATTTGTTCCTTTTCGGTCTCTCAAGAGATCCCGTTCCTCTGTTTGCCCATTAAACTTTGATATGTAGGCACTCAATGTGTATTAGCTGAATGAGAAAATAACTCCTAAATATTTTTTTTCTCCTCAAACCTCAGATTTTATTATTTCCTTTTGAAGGGAATGTTAGCTTTCCAAGCTGAGCATATCACAGTCCCTTACTCTGTCCCCCATGCACAGAACATCCCCCCACACACACACCATCAAGTTGTGTTTTTAATATTGCTCTTCAATAATTTTACCCTGAATGAGCATGAGGGGTTCTGAATCAGAGGCAGATTTCATTTAATTACCTTACAGTAAGTATTGTTGCTGTGCCCTTCCTTTGCCCAAAGACTTACCCCCAGGGCAACATGATGAACGCTGATGAAACGTTTTCCTACTTGAGTGGCTGGGTACTCCATAAGTGGGAGACGAGGAAAAATCTTTTTCCTCTGCTTATAAAGGAGAAGGAGGCTGCTATCCCTCTCTCCTTCTGAAAGGTTCTCTGTGGAAACATAATGCGCCTGAGTTCTAACTCCAGCTTCTCCAGAAACTAGCTAGCCCTATGTGTCTCATGTTTTACAATCTAGAAATGTCTCCAAGGTCTGGGTTTTGTATTTTTGAAATGTAAATACCTAGAGAGATACCCACTCCAGTCTTTCTGACAACACAGAGTTTAGCTTAGGAATCTACCCTGAGCTATAACCATTTGACCCTCTTGGATCAGAGAAATGAACTAGATGAATCGCTACAGATCTAATCTCCATGGTGTGGGAAGTTTCTCAGGAGGCTAGAGCATTCTGTAGGTGAACTGAGACATCCAGGAAAGTTTATTTCCTCATACTTAGTTGAATTGCACCCAGCGTTTGCTCATCTACTCAATCTAGACACTGAGAGTCATTCTTGTTTCTTTTTCTCTCTTCTCTCCAGTATCTAGTCAGTCACCAAATTTTCACACTTCAGATTACTATCCCCGTCATTTTTCCTGGTACCATTGCCCTGAGTCAGATCCTCATAATCTTGTACTGAATTCTTACAATAGCCTCATTATCTCTCTGATTCCATTTCTGTTCTTCTCAAATACATACTCTGTATTTACATCAGGAAGATCTATTTGAAACACACATATTCCTGTGCCACTCCCTTGGTTAAAACCATTCAAAGGTTCCTGATTACCTTCAAGGCAACACCTAAGCCTCTTAGCGGACCATATATGATCATAGAGAGGCAGAGCTTCAAATTCTGGTTTAAAAATCTAATGTGTTTCCAGATAATGATAGCGTCTTTTTCATCTTTGGACATGCCCTCTCCTTGTTCTTTATGCTGTAGAAACACTGGCCTGCTTGAGATACTGATATATACCATACTGTTCTATGTCCTATGTCTCTGCACTTGCATTTTCCTCTTCTTGGAATGTCCTCTAGCATACTCTTCCTTGAATAAGTCATGTTCATGCTTTTGAATTCTATGTGATTACTAGCTTCTCCTGGAAGCTTTTCCTGATTTTCTTCCCCATATTGCGCAAGTCTATAGCACTGTCTACATTGTATTGAAATTATTTACGTGTTTGACTCTTCTGTTATATGTTAAAAGTTCCAACTTTGTATTTCCAGTTTCAAGTACAACCACTGACATGTGATAGTTCAATAGAGGGAGCCATTATTATTTTTATAATTAGTAAGGTCAGTATTAATTGCCTCCAGTCAGGTCCAAACAGAGAACTAGGCAAAATGATAATTTACTTGAATCTGGGAAACTTAATTGTATGAAAAAATACACAAGAATACAGCAACTGTACACACACACACACACACACACACACACACAGATTTCAAGTGAAATATTAGGAGAATCAGCTTTATATGCAAGCAAAGTAAATAACTCACGTATCCAGCGTGATTTTAGGGTACAGAAATATCCTATTATTCAGAAATTTCTTCCCTATCTATAGGCTGAATCCTAATATTCTACTTACAGAACTCCAGTATTTTGGTTCAAACGCCTTCCCTTTCTCTGTTGAATTGTAAATAACTGTGGATGATGAATCATTTTGCAAAGTATCAGACTCAGGATTCTTTTGAATGGTGAACACCACTAAGATTTTATTAAAAAATGTGTCATACAATACAGCTGTGGAACACTTCTGTAACATAATGGTGTATCTGAATTTCGAGGAAGAATACTGCTAATTTGTTTTTCTCCAGTGAAAGAACAGGGCTTAAATTCAGCAGGCAACATTGCTAAAAGTAAGACAGAGTTGAAAAAAGTTACAGAAATTAAGCCCTAGATCAGGACAAATATTATGACTGTTATTGTTAAACAGATATATTAGCATGTATGTAGCATGCACTTAATAATTTTATTAATACCCTCACTTCTGAGATCAAAGAACCTGGGTCAATAACTCTCTTCAATGGTGTCAGAGTATCTGTTAGGTTCTTCTAGGCTCACGGTATGCCTCGCGATCCTTTTAGCACTCAATTATGTATGAACTTACTGTTTTCACTCTGCTTCTAGTGTTAATTTTCTCCCTTCTTTGGATCTAGAACCTTTTTGAAGGCAGAAACTATTCATTTTGTTTTTCTCTTGATCCCCTGGATAAAGGAATATTACAGATTAAACATTAATTCTAGGTCTGTTCATTTATAGAAACTAGCGCCCGCAATTCCTACATCCATAATAGCTCAAAACATTTCTACTATTCTCGAAGAGGTCACAATGGATGATGTAATGATGATTTTTCAAAAGTATTGGGACTTTTCAGTTAGCTTACCTGTTTTATACCTTGTCAGACATTTTGACAGAAATTAACTGGTGATTATCAGTTGGATTAATTGTATACTTTAACATAGCCTAAGGTCCTGTAAATGACCCTTAAGGCTTCCCGTTATATTCTGGATATCCATTATTTTGGATATCCATTTGTTTAAGTCCTCATTAGCCACGCTAGAGCTTTGCAATATATACCTTGTAACTTTACCTGTAGATTTCAAGTATGGCTGTCAGGTTACATAAACAAAGCACTCTTATCTCAGTGAGAGGGCATTAACTGTTGGGAATGCTCCCCCCATCTCCCCAGAGTAGCTTTACAAACACAGCGCTTTCCTCATTAACAGATAGACCCATGTAGCCTTTTTAAAAAATCATTTTATAACCATCAGTGTATAAATAAAAGAGATAGAAATTGACCTGGGAGTTTCATAAACAAGTTCTAAGCACCCAGGATTAATTTTGAGAAGAATGCCACAAGCCAAATAAGCACTTCTTTTCATCTCCTTTCACAGGCCTTCAAGAGGGAATTGAAAACTAAAGAACCTGTAATCATGAGTACTCTTGAGACTGTACGAATATTTCTGACAGAGCAGCCTTTGGAAGGACTAGAGAAACTCTACCAGGAGCCCAGAGGTAATTGAATGTGGAAATATAATAACATATTGATAGAAGGATCAGTGGTGACAGAGCAGCCCATCCATTCTTGCTGCCAGGGCCTGGATAGCTCTCATATTTTCTTGGTTAAATAGAATCAATTCAAATTAAGCATAGATGCTGAAAAAAAATAAGGACTTATAAACTACCACGCATAAATCTGTTTGCACATTCATAAATAAACATTAAAAGAGATTAGCAATCAGTTATTGGAACATTTAGAAAATAATAAACAACGGGAGTTATCTGTGAGGAGGAATTCTATTGTTGCAAAGACTACAAGTTAATTTTCCATTTAAGAGCCTGCCTAAAGTAAATGAGAGCTTGTGCTATGCATCCTAACGTTTTTCTCCTCAACAGCTTAAGTGAATCTTAAATTATCGGATTGATATAAGGTAGAAACTCAGGAAGACATACTTTAGATGTTCTGGGCTGTATCAAAATTTATGCCAAAGTATAAAAAAGTCATTAATCAGTAGGTTACCCTCTTGTTAAACTGTACTCTTTCTTTCTTCCAGTATGACCTTTTTGACAATGTTAAAAAAAAAAAAAAATGAATGTGGCCTAAAACCTTGTTGTATTGCCAATTTAGAGCTGCCTCCTGAGGAGCGAGCCCAGAATGTCACTAGGCTTCTACGAAAGCAGGCTGAGGAGGTCAATACTGAGTGGGAAAAATTGAACCTGCATTCCACTGACTGGCAGAGAAAAATAGATGAGACCCTCGAAAGACTCCAGGAACTTCAAGAGGCCACGGATGAGCTGGACCTCAAGCTGCGCCAAGCTGAGGTGATCAAGGGATCCTGGCAGCCAGTGGGCGATCTCCTCATCGACTCTCTCCAAGATCAGCTCGAGAAAGTCAAGGTACCGTCTACTTCTTTGCTTCGGGGCTCTTTGAGAGACTCAAAAGAGCTTCTAATCTGAACTTGAGTGCAGTGTTACCTTCCCACAAAGTTAAAGCTAGAGCACTTAAGCAATAGAAATCAGTCCATCTTTCACAAATTCAGTCTTCTTTCACATGGTATTTTCTCCAAGAGAAGACAGTGATCTAATCATTTGTCTGTCTTCAGTTATATGAAATGAAATATTAAAAAAGTTACAGGGCAAGAAATCATTTTGGCTTTGCTATTAAGTGATTGTACTAAAGTCTGATGTATATGTGTGTGTGTGTGTGTGTGTGTGTGTATTGCTTGTGTTACTTAGTATCAGAATACAGAAAAATAAAACGCTTAATCAAGAGCCAGGAGTCTAGGTGTTGGCCCTTTTGCTAACTAAATTATATGACTTGGGTAAGTTATGGTATGGTGAAATAAGGTCGTTAATGTGTGGCCCTTCCCTTGGAAGGCAACATTTGTAATACAGTTTCAAGTTTCATCAGCCCACTGCAGAAGTATGGGAAAATCATTATATATTTGGAAGACTACTGTCTGTAAGACCAAAGTTAAATTTCCTTGTGGCACAAAGATGGCAAATGTATTCTACAGAAAAAAAATACATATTTAGGACTATCATTTTGAAATCAGCAACTACTCATCTATTGTCAAAACCACAAAAGTCCTCCTAGATTAAAATTCAAAAGAAGTTAAATTCCCTCCTGCACTCAGCATGTTTGCCAGCATCCTCAGCATCCTCATTCTAGAAGTTGTCCTCTTCCTTGGCTTTCATGGAACTCTTCCATCCATGTTCTTCTTCCTATATTTTTCTAGATTCTTTACCTACCCACCCTTCAAATACTGTTGTGCCCAAGTTTCTAACCTTAGCCTAATTCTCTTTTGATTGTTTAAACCCTCCCTGTTTGAGATGGCATGGATGGTAATGTATCTACATCTCTAGTCCGCATCTCTCTTCTGATCTCTGAATCCATATGGCATCAGGATCACAAATGCAACTATTCTGAAACCAAGTTCATTTGTTCCTCTGTTTTTCCATGTCCCTACTTCTGTCCCCTCCTATCTGACATTTTTTCCCCCTGTTTCCTATTTCAGTTAATGAATCATCATCCAACAAATTTTCCAGGCTAGAAACTTTAGGTTCATCCTTAAAGCCTTCTACATTTTCACTGACAGCACATGATGGCTCATGTTACCTCAGAATAGCTCTTTTATCTTTTCTCTCCTCTTTTAACCAAAGTCCTTTTTAATCCCCAGCATCTTTTAGTTAGATGATAACAGTATACATCTTTAAATCCCATTCACCCCTCCGTGTGCCTGGCATATCTTAGATACTGCATTTTAAATGTTTGGTGAATTAACGGATGGATGAATAGTTTCTTTACTGATGTTCCTGCATTATCCAGCCTCTTCCAACTCTAATCCAAACTCCTTGCAGAAGAATGCTTGCCTAGAGAATGAAATCCAATGAATAAGGAGATTAAGTGGCTATTTTCTTCCTAGCCCTGGCTTACCTTCTCAGCCATAGCTCCCGTTCTCCAGACCATTTAATACACTCTGCCCATATGAGATATATATATATATATATATACATACACACATATATATATATATAGAGAGAGAGAGAGAGGCATATTTGGGAAAAAGAGGTGATATGGGCAGAGTGTATTGAATGTGTGTGTAAAGTATATATGTGTGTGTATATATGTATGTATATGTATATACATACGTACATAGATAGATACATACATATATATACATCGATATATATACACACACACATATATATCTGCCTTTTCAAATGCTGTTCTCTCTGTCTGGATCCCCTTACATTGTCTACTTGGTGAATTCTCACTCAGCCCTCAAGGACCAGCCAAAATGTTACCTATCTTTGTTGTCTTTCCTGGGTGTCTACAACCCCCAACTCCCACCAAGCAGAAGAAACTGCTCACAGTTGGTGCTCTCATAGATCACCAAGCATGTTAAATTGTCACACTTAAATTTCACATATATTGTAGCAACTTGCTTATGCCTTTTTTTTCTCCCAGAGAAAGTGAGGTTGCTAAGAGCAAGGATCATGCTGTACATCTTTGGGCTCCTAGCCCAGGGCCAGCAACATGTGAGGAATCTCATTAAGTACCTTCATTTATTCACTCAACAGCTGTTTATCAGTCATTATATAATGTGCTGGACAGGTAATTATAAAAGAAGCAGACTTGGTCATTGCCTTCATGAAGACTATGGTCTAATGTTGAATTGCATAGCTCTTCATTAAAATAGTAGGTAAAAAATTTAAAAAGAAAAGATTAAAAATTTGACTTTAATACTTCTAAAATCCCTTCTACCCCAACATTTTATGACCCCATGTCTAACATTTAAAGTAAGGGTGAGCTTTGCCGTCTTCTGGAAAACTAAGTGTTTTGAAATGTATTACCTAGTATTTTAAAAGCATTAAATATGTTAATTTTATTAAAAAATATAGGGACTAATTTTTTGACAGTCTTCTCCAAAAATGAGAAATAAGTTAGGAAAATGTCCCAGTGGAACTAAATTAGTTAATATATCGATTAAATTGCTCAATATATAGGCCATAGAGCAGACATAAGGGATTCATTTTTAGCCATACTTGTCACACAGGTGCATTTGTGAGATACTGAGTATGGATGGAGAAGAGAATGTGCACAGCATAATTTAATAATTAAAAATAACTAAAAGCATAACAGTTCAAGTATCAGCTGGCCTTCACCCAACCCTATTTGCGGTATTCCTTTTAGTTTCCCTGTCTTATCTGTTCTTGGTCTTAAGACAAACTTCATTTTCCATACCCTAATTGGTAAAACTGTCATTCTGATCCCAATAATAGCAAAACGTATAAATATTAAACATACCTTTCAAAAGATTATATTTATAACCCAACACATCTATCTTTCTCAGACATATATACACTTAAGTTATGGTACTTATCTAAATTTTTATGTACTGGTAATAATAGATGTGATTGTTTTGGCTTTTGAATCAGTGTTGTATTTTATGCATGTTTCAAACTATGAATTACATGAATTCATATATATTTATCTCCCTTCAGTAGCTCTTCTTCAATTTTGCAATGGAAATAAATCATTTTTCTCCATTGCATCTTATTGACACTGGGTTTGAAACACTGAAGCTTTGGGGGTAGTAGTTTACAAGGAATGAGTTTTAATAACTAAAATTTATTTCAGAAAAAAGTAGAAGTGTACTTGAAACCACTGTTCCCATTTTTCCACTCAGCAGTTTAAGCCCTCAGAGGATTCATGCTGTAGGGAACTTGAAACTGATAACTAGGCAGCTAGCCAGAAGAACATTTTATATATCCATATCAGTTCATTTCCCTCACCCCTAGAGACTCTATCATAGTACCCCCCTCCGTTCTGATCTGATGTGTTAAATAACTTGTTATTCAAGTGACTAAGTAATATGTGTTTCTGTGAGATTTCGTGTTCTATAATTGTATCAGCAAATGTGGCTTTTGGATTTAAAGAATGGGTTAAACAACAATGACTAAGTCCCTGGCCTTTATGGAAATGGCGTTATTGCTAGCTGATCATCTTCAGGTGGTGAACGTGGTAAATTAATAGATGGAAACACAATATTAATATTGACTATATTGCTCACTAAGAGAATCTCAGCCTTCCAAATATAGCTTCCATAGGAAAAACCAGTAGAATAAAATTTAAGTTTTAAATGCTTCCTTACTTTTAAAATTCATGATTTATACTGCTTATCAAATATTTTAAGGGCAAGATCATGACTTTTCACTTTACTGAAAATAGCACCAGTGCTTATTTGACTAGACAAATATTCTACTTTCCTTGTAATGGAGAATAGGAATAACTCTTTGAATCACTAGGTGCTCCACATAGATCTGTAAGTGGAATATATAAAGGCTTTAATAAAGTAGAATAACTTTTAAACCTATAGTCTGGATACAAGATTTTTGTTCTTCAGGACAATCCCAATGTGAGAAAGTTTGTGGATTGTTGTTTTCTTTTCTTTTCTTTTTTTTTTTTTTTTTTTGAGAGTCTCGCTCTGTTGCCAGGCTGGAGTGCAGTGGTGAGATCTCGGCTCACTGCAACCTCCGCCTCCTGGATTCAAGGGATTCTCCTGCCTCAGCCTCCCGAGTAGCTGGGACTACAGGCGCGCACCACCATGCCCAGCTGATTTTTGTATTTTTAGTAGAGACAGGGTTTCACCATGTTGGCCAGGATGTTCTCGATTTCTTGATCTCATGATCCGCCCACCTTGGCCTCCCAAAGTGCTGGGATTACAGGCATGAGCCATCACTCCTGGCCAGATTGCTGTTTTTTAATGTTTTGTTTTTGTTCTAATAAACCATGGTTTCTCTTTTTTTAATTTTTCTTTTTTGAGACAATCTCGCTCTGTCACCCAGGCTGAAGTGCAGTGGCGCTATCTCAGCTCACTGCAGCCTCTGCCTCCTGGGTTCAAGCAATTCTCCGCCTCAGCCTCCCAAATAGCTGGGACTGCAGGTGCCCGCCACCGTGCCCAGCTTTTTTTTTTTTTTTTTTTTTTTTTGTATTTTTTAGTAGAGATGGAGTTTCACCACGTTGGCCAGGCTGGTCTCGAACTCCTGACCTCAGGTGATCCACTCACCTTGGCCTCCCAAAGTGCTGACTTACAGGCATAAGCCACTGTACCCAGCCTATAAACCATAGTTTCTCTATACCAAAAGTGGTATGTCATTCTTGAGCCAGGAATATTTCACTGTCCTTAGTTTACCTGTTAACTCTGAACACAGTTTTTCATGCACTGTAGATAACTCTCCCAGGCTGCCATCTTGGAATATGCAAATCTGTCACATCTATGTAGTTATGCATTTTGCATTTTTGTCAAACTTTTAACTTACATTTCTTACTGTGAAAAGTCAGGGCAGGGATTCTATGAGCTTTTTCTTTAAAGTTCCTACAATGAAATGTT